CGAGCACAACACATACAGAAATGTTTCGAAACATCCGAAGAGCGAGTCGCAATAATATCGCCCAACGACTAGGCGAGAAAAAATTAGTAGACATCACGTACATTAGGTTCCAGTACCACTGTTTACGCGAGTATGGAAATTTACGTCGGGCCGCATGCGTATAGGACATGCAATAGTGAACTTAAGCCAAATTAAGTTACACCCGTTTACCTAGCACCAAAACAAGGTAAAATAGTGTTAAAGAGTATTGAATACTAATGAAATTCACCACTGCATTCACTGAATTACTAACTGTTAAGTCCTATAGAAATATGGAGAACTCTCATGGCAAACCTACTTTGAAATATCAAGAGTTGATAGCGTTTATCGACAGACCAAACTCGCACAATTGACTTCGAACTAAACAGGCCGTGATCAGGGCACCATAATAAAACCAACAATTGCACAAGTATTGTGCTTTATTGAACAGTAACAGAAACGACAACGTTAACTAGTTTAAAAGTTGGGAGAAAGCCATGAACTGATGTACTTACATACGAAGTTCTACGTTGCATCTGACTGACTGACAAACCAAAAAATGGGACAAATTTACTGACAACTACAGTGAGCCGCGTTAATAGGTATACACCGCTTGGTCGGTGTTCGAGAGGAAATAGTAACCAGCGGTTAAAGACTTTGAATGACATGGATCAGACCCGCTTATAATCGCGCAGATAAACCTATCCTTCGTCTTCTCTCAAATTTTAATTTGAATTCGTGATTTCTTTCTTTTCCTAACTTACTCGACTGGAACACCTCGCGAATCACACTTCATTCCCAAGCTATTTTATTAGTACTAATGCTGCTGCTACCTTAACTACTACGGAATTCGGACTAACAATTCCATCTTTCTGTGCTGATATGATGACGTGGTTTGATGGATGTACACAACAAATTATACGTTGGAGTCGACTGGCTGGATGATGACATGAATCACTGTCGGATGCAGAAACATTCACGAAACTCCGGCTGTACATCAAATGTTCCGTTAAAAACACTGTACTCCCCCGCAACTGCCAAAGAAATTGACTCCCCACCAATTACTGGCATGTTAATAAGGTGCACGGTCTTATAAAGATAACGAGATCTAATCCCTTGTCACTTAGAATCTGGTGTTTAGTGAATTCGCATTCTCTAAGAGGTTTCATCATCACAATACTCTTGAGGTTCTACCACGACAAATAGTTTGGCAATTCTAGTTAGAAGTAAAATAATTTTTCAGAGTCTTGAGATGTAATCACCAGTGCATCGGAAATGCATACTGCCCGAGTCACTGACCACCTAATAGATAACGAAACACCGATTTTGGGAGCTACTAGTAAGCAAAAGAGACGATAGCGATTTGCAATTAATCATATTTTAAGCATTAACATATTTCTCTACTTTATAGGAAGGTCACAGTTAGTAGACAAAGAACCAAGAAAACAAATACCAAGCGGATGCTACGACACTGGTGACGGTTTTTACAATCCATTGACGAAAATTATAACAGATTATAACGGACGTTTTCTTCGAAATGCAGGTAGGTTTTAAGATATACTATGAGTATACTAGATCCTGAGGAGCATACATGGATTGTCGCTAAGTGTAGAAAAGCATGGGATGAACACGTCGGTGCCACGTATGACGCTGAAACAATTAAGCGGATAGTGAAGCCTTATTGACTATGGTACTAAGGTCTAATTTGAATAACACTGTAGAAACTGATATTTTGTATCAAATATATTAAAAAATTTACTTAGTGCCGTTCGAATTTATATTTAAATGGGTCTCTGTTTACTTGTCTGAAGAAGTACGGAAAGCTTGTGCTTGCTGTTCGCCCATGGCAGTTACTACAGTAACCTAGGAAAAACTACATTATAAACAGACCAACTTACAATCACATTGTCCATTTCTCCTCTAGAATTCCATTTCGCCTGCAAATCCTTTCCAACTTCATTATCAGGAACGGGAATGTCTTCAAATATACAGAAATCATCACCCATTAGTGATAAGAATCCATCTTTGATGTCCATCAGTTGATATTCTTTACGTGTGATGATAGGCACATTCATAGTGTGTGATGAAGAACATATCTCTTCATATTTCTTTCCAGTGAATATATCAATTCCCACTAAGTGCGATTTTGCAGAGCCATGTTTTCCAGTCTTTGATGTAGACATCTCCATGATTTTGCATGGACGGTCTTTCATCAATACGTAACCACCTTTTCTCAGAGAACTGCACTGTTTTGGCTCTGTTTTCGAAGCCCCAGACTCTCCGGTTGCAAACTCTTCATCGTCAGATGCAGACATAATATGTGCAGACTAAACACAGCAAACACGACTGCAGCGAGTGAGTAAGCAACGCGCGCGGCTCTTTGTACTTTTGATGAATAGAAACAAAATTTTGTGTACCTGATTTCTGTATATTTTTATCAGCTAAGTCTATAAAAGCAGGGCTAGAGTTTAGAACAATCCTTATCTTTGTTTGGAAACGTTGTCTTCCTAATGAACTTCAACTTTTGTTGTAGTGATCTTGATTCTGTGAAACCCTTAAATCTTGAATCTCATATCGGTATGACTAGATGGTACTTATTGCTTCATATATTTATGTGATGAAAATCCTACCCGCAGAAAGTTTTATGGGCTATTATAAGCTTCAAAGTTGACTTCTGAGGCTAATGAGAATTTAAGAAATATGAAACTTGGTAAGAACTGATGGTGAACGGTTGCCTTCTCTTCAGAAGAATCGCCCCAGCACAGATGAGATATTCTACTTCCAGAGAGTAAATTCTCGTAATCTACATACCTAACATTAGGTATCCCTGACACGTGTGACAGGGCAAGGTATCCATGGTCATAGACCGCTGGATAATACGTTGGAAGTTAAGTCTGATAATTATTCTCCTTGAGGGATATGTTACCTCGATCTCAAATGACAGTTTGTCACTGTTATAGGCGTCAAATATTAGGAAAGTCATGCAGCGTATGGAATATCTCGATTAAAAATGAGCATATTTCAACAATCGACCATACGTTTTGAAGTTTTAGCAGACAGCCAGCCAGTGTCGATCATTAAGATACATACTTTCAACAAAGAATTCAAGTCTCAAGCCACGGCGGCTGCCATCACCTGTTAATCTGCTGTAACATGACCTAGGTGATTCACCTAGCTTTGTTTCCTAAAAATATACGAAAGTCAGGATTTGTTAAGTTTTATATTTTACCTCACCTTGGAGTAAAAGCTCCCGCCAACTACTAAGCGATACATGTAAGTTCGTTAGAGGATGTTCATTGTATCGACAGGTTGACCGTCGTTTGAGTACACCTATGGGAGTCCCCTCACAGGCAAATGCATATTCGCCCGTGTTCTTATGCATTTGGTAGGTCCTATTGTAGAATCCTTTTTTGAATGTTTTGTTTTTTGGAAAATCCCTCCATGTTTATATAGTTTTGTTATGACATGACGGACTTTTTTCTGTTGACATTTCGCTATTTTATTTGATTCCAATTTGAGATTTTATCATTGTATATTGTTATTCTTTCTATATTTTGTACTTATATTGAAGTTTTTATGTTTGCTTCTGAACTGTACATATATTGTTTAAATTTGATATAATATGGCTACCGCCACATTTTTGGATTGATATCGTGCAGTATAGGAGTTCACCTAGACCTCGGAACCTTGATACTCATTTAGAGTAATTTTGAATTGGAAGGCGTAAATTTCTTTAGACCATTTTCCCCTAGAATTATTGTGTTTTTATATTCAAAATTGGGAAGTGCGTCCGACATACGTCTATTGGAATCGAATTGAACTGCCACGATAGAAAATCCAATTACACCTATACCTTGTTCAAATGGTTTTCATTATTCATTCATATGGATGGACAAATTCACAGGGTTCTCAGTAGCCATACCAATAACTAACATTACAGGTAAAACACTGGTAAATTTTGGTACCCCTATTACACTTACAACCAAGAGAGAAATCCGATTTGAATCTGAGCTATTCACAAACTTTTCGGAACTTCTGGGCCGTAACAGAACACATTGTATAGCTGATCGATGGTGGAATTTTTCCATCTTCAGTAAGAATATGCACTAATATTACACTCAAGCCACACTGAATGGAAAGGATTCTTGCCACCAACTATGTTAGGACTTAGAAGAGCTGCTAATAGTGATGAATGGTGTTTAGTACCGGATCTAGCCTCCCTAACGGCTTTTCAATCCTCGAATCGAAAGTGAAAAGCTTGACCTAGCAAGTTACCCTGACCAATTGCCACATGACTTACAACTGTTAATACTGGTGAACAGTCACGAGCTGTGTATATACCGAATGATCTAGGCACTTGCACATATGGTTAGGAAGTGATAAATTAAAAGCATCAGTGATTTCTCCACTGGAGGACTCACTCAAAGTCGCATCAAGAAAATCCATATATTTCTTTGTACGGAAGATGGAAACGGATATGGTAAGTAGTGGTAGGCCAAGACCAGATTATTCAGATAGCAAGCCACCACATTTAGTTTGGGATAGCTTGCCTGACAAAACAGTTATAAGATCAACAAGTAGCATTGAGAACTGCTGTCATATGACCAAAGGTCAGGTGAGCAATACCAGTCATTCCGTTTTATAAATCCTGTCCCAAATCTTAAGTAATTATAATTTTCTATATTCTACACGAAGTTGCACTTTGGCCTAGCTCACACATATGATGATGTAATATTATTTTCATACTATTCAGACTTGACAATTATTTAAATAGCCCCTAACATTTTTTACTAAACCCAACAAATTCCAAAAGGCTGTAAGTATTTGGGTTTATGCGTTTGGCTTTCACGTTAGCTATCTAAGAGGGAAATTTAGCATGGTCAAGACCATCGGTGATCATAAAGTCATCTCAATGAGACATTGGTATCCCATGGTCCGCCACAATGTGCCGCATTACCGCTTCCGTCACCGTCCTTGCACGTTGTAAACGTTTGTGGTAAAGAAAAATTTATACAGCAAATCCCCTCAAGTAATAGTATTTAAGGGCTACTGATTCTAAAACTCAGTTGTAGATAGATTGATTTATGGATTCCCCTTGAATAAGAACTACATTTAGCTTATGGAGAAATTCGTTCTCTAAAGTGGATGGTTTAGTTTTGGAGCCCCCATTTTTCCTATGAAAAAGATCATCAGCAATACTTCAAGTAGAAATGATGTATTCGAATTCCTCCACCTATGACTCCCAACTTGTCATGTCAACCGCCATCTTGACTATTTATCAGTTACCCTTAACCTGTAATTATGGCAAGTTAGGGGTCAACAATGTAGATAATCATGGGTTAGGGTTCAATAATCATCAATAAAGCTAAAAAATTCGAATACTTTAGTTCTAACTGAAGTATGTTCCGATCGTTTCGTCAATACGAACACTGAAAGCTCTACAATCATACCACTCAGCCGTGAGGACGAAACTATACCATAACCATTTACGTGGCACAGAGATTTTCCTCCACTATCTCATTTTTGACTTGTGTTCACAATGATTTATAACTATCCATCTATAAGCGATAATTCGAATAAATGGGTCACTATATTATCAGAAGATTGAGTTTATAACGTGCCTCCCAAGATAAAACTCATGTTAAACCGATTACGAAATTGATTAAATCACCATCAATGCCTCGTTGCAAAAGATTTCGTTTGGTAGCAGATCATTTCTTTTTGTTGTGAAAGTGAATCATACCACATTTTCTTGCATCATGCGTACTTCACCGTTCATTTCTATCAACAATAATCGTAATAATTTATTTTCAAATAACAACGTGCTACATGAGACTTGCCAGTGAACAGGCAAGATCTGCTCTGCAGACATGGATGGACTGAGGTTATCTTCGCTCCTTCATTACTACCTATCAGATACACCACCTTAAATTTTTTGTGTCATACGTAATTTATCGTTTCTTTTATTCTCTATACAAAAGTCAAATCATTTTCATATCTTAATCCCTTTTTGCCTTATTTCACTTTTTGTACTAAAGTCTATATAATATTGTTCTGTACATCACAGAACCTGTTCATTTTGGGTGAATCAAAACTTTATTGAAACTCCTGAGCATAATTTCATTTCTAAAGAAGCCAGAGATGGTTTCTGCACAACGCTTATACTGATATGTTGGTGGTGAACAGGAATAATTCTGTTTTTTCTATTTGATTGTTATGGGTGTAAGCACAAAATAATTTTGCTGTTTGCACATTTAAATTGCTATCCGAGGATAATGCCATATGTTTCGATATGAATTATTCATACATTTTGATGTACTAATTCATTTTTATTATGACTAGCCAGCACAGTATGTGGCGTCCACAGACTATTTCTTAGTACAAACTGAGGGGTAGTCATAACTGATATTAGTAAGGTCAAAAACCGAACAAGTTAGAAAGATTCTAAAGTGGCCGACATCATTCTCCATAGAAAATGAACTGACGTGTTGTTATTTAGTGATTTGATCGAACTCACATCCCTATGCAAGGCAGATTCTAGAAGGAGACTTACATAACAGCAGAAATGTGTGGTTGATGGCTAGCAGTGAATGTAGTGGTATTGGTTTCTAACCACACAATCCGTGAAGCTAAACATACATAAGTCGCTGAATTCCTGAAGAAAGCCATGAATAGCTGACGCTGCTCCATCGCCCAGGCATGATCGCTCTGTAAAATCTTACTTTTCACGTTAAATTTATCATTCCAGTACAAACCCAGATGTATAATTTCATGAGCAAAAGAAATCATTCTGCTGCTGTCACAACAGAACAATTAATTGTATGCGATGATGAGATGTCCGTATTAAATCTCGTTGGTTCAGGTAATCAAATCACAGCAAGTCTAAAATTGCAGAGTATGTTTGATCAAGTAGATAGCTGCTCTTATAATGGGTTAGACCTGAATCCTATGATCTCGTATGGGTGGATTATAAAACACTAAACACGTTCTTGTCAGAACCTTTGAATGCCTGAAAAAAGACTAAAACAGATTAAACCCGTTGCTCTTAAGAATTCATCTTCTTGTACGCGAGGAGGAGGTGTGCCAGCGACAGTATACTTGAAACTGTCTTCATATCCAATGCACATTAGTACACTCCTTTTAAAATAAATTTCCAGACCCCAACAGTCAGACCATCTAACTAAATCGTGTAGATCAGATTGGACATCAATATCACTGATTCATGGGCACATTGGAAAATAGTGGACCAAGGTCAGTACCTTGTTGTACACCAATTTTAATAGTTCTTCACTCAGATATTGCCCCACTGGCTCTCACTCTGTCTTCTACCACAGAACAAGTATCTTTTCCACTCTTGTTCGGTGCCTGCTATTCCAAAAATCCAAGACTTCTG